TCGAGAGCGTCCTTCGCGCGTCCTTCGCGCGATACTTGGCCGCCTTTGGGAATGGTAGCCTCCTCTGCTTCCCGGCCAGGCAGCTGTCACACAACTCGCCTCCGTGCTTGATGTGGGGTAGCCCTCGGACCATCTTCTCCAGCCGACCAAGCGCGTCGAAGCTGAGATGTCCGAACCGGGCATGCCACATCCACGGTTCCTCGGAGTGCCTTGCCGCCAGACACACCGGCTGCTCTACCTTCAGGACGAGCAGGTACAACCGGTTCAGGGACCTCTTCACCTTGACAAGAAGTCGCTGCTCCCGATCCCTGATCCTAAGGACTCCGTCCTTGATCAGTACCTCGCTACCGCGCTCATCCAGCTGACCAATGCTACTGATGCTGGAACGCAGCTGCGGGATGTACTATACATCCGTTAGCGCGCGGTGCTCCCCGTTCTGGCACCTGAAGATGATGGTGCCGCGCCCTTGGATAGATACCCTTGAGCCGTCACCAAACTTCACCGTACCGGTAACATCGTCGTCGAGCTCGGAGAAGGATGTCTTGGAGCCCGTTATGTGGTTGCTGGCACCAGAGTCCAGATACCACCACTGCTCCTGGTCGGCGCCCACACGTCCGATGTGGACTTGGGCGCGTGGTTCATCGAGGTTGACAGCCTTCAAGGCCTTCCCAGGTCGTTCCACTGTCGTCGCCTCTTCCCTCTCCTCGGCCTCGACGTCGTGCAGTGCACAGAACGTCGCAATCAGGATAGTGGCCTCATCATCATCATCAGCTTGCGCCAGATGAGCCTCAGTCTTCTTCTCCTGCTTGCGATTTGGGCACTCCCGTGCCCAATGGCCCATCTTTCCGCAGCGCCGACAGGCATTGAGGTCGACCTGCTTCTTCTCCGAAGAAGCCTTGCCGGGGCGCTTGCCATCGCCACCGCGGCTGGAGGAGGCTGCCTTCCCGGAGTTCCTCCGAGCAGCCCACACCTCTTCCGTCAGCAGCAGTTTGCCGCTGTCCTTCGTTGCTGTCGCCTGCTCTAGGCGCTCGTCCACCGTCCGCAGACGGCCTGTCACATCCTCAATGGTGAGGGTGGATAAGTCCAGCATCGTCTTTATGGAGAGAGCGATCTGGATGTACTTTGCCGGCACGGAGTGGAGGTATTTGGAGACTGCCTCCTCTTCATCGATGGTGACGCCATGGCTTTTCAGCTTGCTGATGAGCGTCTGCAGGCGGAGGGAGAAGTCCTCCACCGTTTCACCATCCTTGAACTTGAGGTTGGCGTACTCCTGCTTCAGAAGCTGGGCCGTCGTCTTCTTTGCGCGGTCGGAACTGACGCGCATCGCCGCAATAGCCTCCCACGCCTCTTTAGCCGAGCTCTTCGCCCCCAACGGCTCCCTGTACTCCGCCGGTACAGCAGCGAGGATAGCCTCCAACGCTGACATGTCATCTTCTTCATTGTCGATGCCCTTGTCAACAACATTCCAGAGCCGTCGAGCTCTGAGCTTGACCTTCATGGTCACCGACCACTCTCCATAGTTGGTGCGAGTCAGCGTAGGCCAACTGGTGCCGCTGACTTCCCGCACCATGCGAACAACGACCTCCGGTCGTGGCTGGGCAGCCACAGCAGTGCCACTGCTGTCGCCCATCTCCGAACCGCCCGTCATCGTCAGCGGTTAGTCTGGCGACGGCGCTTGTACCGCTCTGATACCACTTGTTAGCCCACAGGATCACCGGCTCAGGTGAGTCGACCACTCACTAGTCTTGCTGAGCACCCGTTAGTGTTACCGAGCACCCATTAGCTAAGCCGACCACGAACAAGTGTTGTCCGTCTCCACACACTGTGGCTAGAGGTTGAAGAAGAGGGAGAACAGAGCATACACACACAGTACAAAACACCAGCGTTGGCCGAAGCCCTGTATGGGAGATGGCAAATCTGAACTTTCTTTATTGAGTTGCCGTGGTAGTCTATTTATACAACTCTATGCATCTAGTCTCAGTACAGCGCACATGCTGCAACAATAACTAGATAACACAGCAGGGCTGACTCTGCGCCGGCCTCTGCATGTGGCTACAGTGCTACAGGTGAGCCGTTCGGCGCCTGCACCTGCAACGGCTACAGTATCACAGCATGGGGCCTTTTCGGCGCTGCCTTCCCCTTACTGTGTGTTCACACAAGAAGCAGTAGATTATTGTAACAATTTCCACATCACGTTATGAACGTCTCTCTACTATTCTATACACTGTTGTAGTCTTTATATCATTTGAATGTAGCATGTTATGTGTCATGTGTAGCAGCTGGCCCCTCTCAGTCTGCCTGTTTAAACTTACTAGCAAGCAGCGAATGATTACTTCGTTCAGTATATTCTCATCTCTCATGTTTTCATGACATGCCATGTATGCCACATTTATTCTTAGAACAGGGTGTGGCATGTTATTACATCTGTGCATGGATGTTCAGGGAGAACTTAATATCTCCTGTGTATTCAATATTCTTTTAGTAATATTGACTTATTAAATACAGCATGCTATTCTCTGCTTATAAATTTGTGTGCTCTCTTCAGATGAAAGAGATACTTGGTGACTATGATGCTATTCATGTGAGACGAGGTGACCTACTGAAGAATAGGAAAGATAGATTTGGTGTTGAGCGAAGTCTTCATCCTCATCTTGACAGAGATACTCGCCCTGAGTTTATCAAGAAAAGAATTGCAAAGTGGATTCGACCAGGTCGCACTCTTTTCATTGCCTCAAATGAAAGGACCCCAGGCTTCTTTTCATCTCTATCAGACAAGTAAGACTGACACCGTGTACCTACTCTTTTTGCACCTGGCTTCTTTTCATCTGTCAGACAAGTAATACTGGCACCATGCATGCACCTACTCTTCTTGCACCTGTATCCCATACATCAATGAAAATTTGAGGACGTCGCTCCAATGGTGTATTTTTCAGGGTGTATCCATGCACTGACATGTATCCCCAAAACCTACATATTTGTGAGATACCACACCTTGGATATATGTATTCCTGCTAAAAAAACATAGGGAGATGACGCCCCCTGGCTGTCTTAAGAGATGGAAATACCAGACCCTTTGGACACGACTTGTGAGCATCCTGGTTTGACCCTGGGAGAGCTGCCTCTCAACTAGATGCTGTAACAAAGTATGCTTTGGTTCTCATATGTATTCCTGCTTGACCAATGCTTAATGATTTCTATTACATCAGGAACTGTATTCCTGAATGATTACCTAAGTAATATATTTCAAATGTTTAAAATGTTCCATGAGTGATCGATGGTTTCATCTTTCCCAAGGAACTATCACCATGGACTTGGACTGCTAATATAAAAGTGATATTTACATAGCAGTTAGCGAGGCAGCATTATATCTGCATGTGCTCTCTTGAGACAAGCTATGACATTGTTTCTGTCTCTTATGGTGGCATGTTGTGCCCGCAGGTACAGGCTAGCATATTCATCTAACTTCAGCAGCATATTGAATCCGATAATCGAGAACAACTATCAGCTGTTCATGGTGGAAAGGTTGATTATGCAAGGCGCGAGGACGTTTGTGAAGACAATGAAAGAGTTCGATAAAGATCTTGCTCTCTGTGATGATCCAAAGAAGAATACCAAAGACTGGCAGGAACCAGTTTATACAGATGACTGATGGCAGCTGTTTTGTGTTCCTAGATACAGCTTAGTTCCAACTGTATCACTGATCTTAAAGGTTTCACAAAGATGACCAAGTACTTAACATTTATGAGATGATATGATAGCTTGAGATGGATGCATTAACTATGGCATGACAGAAGGGCAACACCGAAAGCGAATGTTGTCTGAAGTCTAAGCTTGAAAATTGATTGGCTTCAGATATGACTGCTCTTGTACACACCATGTTTTTTTGTTCAGTTACGGTGTTCAATTGGTTTGTTTTTCTTCATCTGTTTAAAAAAGATTACTGGGTGGTGGGAGACTGTTTGTTAACATCTGTGGACCAAACAGTTGTGTATGTATAGCATGTAACTGCCGTTGGAGCAAAGCTATCAACCAATGAGATACATTACTTCCTGCTCCTGTTGCTATATTGTACTTGTGTTAACAGCATCAGTTATACTAGCTCTGTCATTCCTAGAAAAAGATAGAATGTTGAGCATCTTGCGTTGATTCTTCTTTAAGAAAAAAAAACACTTTATATGAGAATGCTTTATGGTAATCTTTTTTGCTTTGTTGGGGCTTAGTGATGTAGAGAAGTTATTCAGCAATATAGAAATTCGTGTCAAAGACAATGTGCTATATATAGTGTGTATAACCCATAAGCTATAGGATGTTTAGCAGGTAGTGCTTGTGACTAGCAATGTACACGTTACTGCAAGTTCAGTGAACCCTATGGCCTATGCAGGCTCCCTTAGAGCATTCATCACTGTAGCTGGAGAGATGCATCATGCATGGATATATATATACTGGCACTTGAATCTCATTGCATATACAGAGGTGATATAAGTTGATCCCAAAAGCACCTTCGATAGGTTTCTATAAATCAATTTTGTCCTTTCTTTCAGAGAAGATTTCCATCAGCCCATGAAAACTAATAATAAGCCTTGGGGGCTTTGTTTGGCCTGCTTAGCATGCATTTAGCAACTTATTAGTAGTCAGCTAGAGTGCTTCGATGTCGATCGATCACCAAGCTAGAGAGCAATGCACACTCCATTCCATATTCCCATGCACGGCCAGGAATTGAAGAACTTGTTGAGATTTGATTTGAGAAGGTGGTGCAAAGCCTCTGCAGTGCAGCTAGATTAGCTGACTAAAATCCATCCATGCATACATGCATTCTTGTTAGTTTCTCTCAGACAGATCAACACTTAGCTCTTGCACATTAATTTCAGTACGCACTTAAGAAATTACCAAAGCCTAGCTAGCGAGCTAGCGATCGAAACTACTCCTCTCTGATCTGATCTCTATATGTACACGAACGAGAGCAATGCAAGCCAGCCGGCCGGCCGGCGGGCCAGCGGCGGCTAGACGTCGCTGCTTCCCTGCTCATGGTTGTCGTCTCCATCCTCCTGGTGCGCTCGCTTCTTCTTCTTGCCCTGCAGGGACACTCCGAACAGCTTCACCGTGCCGTCGTCCTCCGGCCGCCGCGGCGGGGAGGGGGAGTCCGCCGGGTCCAGCTCCATCAGCCTGCAGGAGGACGCGGCGCCACCGGCGCTGGTGGGCAGGGACGCGTGCGCCGCCGACGAGGGGCTCGTCACCGGGGCCACGTGGTTCTGCAGGAAGTAGATGATGTCGTTGTAGAGCTTCTTCATGTGCGCCAGCTCCGACAGCAGCAGCGAGTTGCGCCGCCGCAGCTGCCGGTTGTCCTCCGACAACACCGCCAGGAAGTCCCCGCCGCCTCCTCCACTGCCTTCATTATTGCCGCCGGCGTCGGCGGCGTGAACACCGTGCGCGGTGGCGGCGGGCTCTTCTTGGAAGTGGTGATGGTACACCGGCTGCGTCGGCGGCGGGGGCGGCGGCGGGGAGAACGGGTTGAGGTGGTGGTGGTGGAGATGGTGATGATGGTGGTGGTAAGGCTGGTGCGGTGGCAGCGGCGTCGGCAGCGGCTGCGACGACTTCCTCCTGTGGATCTCGGCGAGGAGGTGCTTGGCGCCCTTCCTGAAAAACTCGTTGGCGAACTCCCACCTATCTGCCACTATCTTCCTAAAGCCCTGCAACAGCAAAAACAGCAAATTTAAACCAAAGAAAAATTTCAGTATTTTCTTCTTGCAGTGAGTTGTGTTATTAGATAGATAGCACAAGATATTAATAACGAAAGCCTATATGAGATGAGAGATCGACGTCGACACTGTTGCACAACAGCACATTGCAATTGCAGCTACCATGCATGGCACATGTACTACGTGCACATGCTGCATCAAGCTAGCAATGCAGAGAGAGAGAGAGAGAGAGACGTCTGGTACATCACGATGGATGCTCATCAGATCAGTGCTTCTGTGTGCATGTGTGTAGTACTGTACTGATGTGTAGTCAGCTCAGCTGCTAGTCATGTCATGTGATGTGCGGTGGTAATGCATGGTATCTTGTACTGTACTGTATAAGGGTATATACTGCTTGGAACAGAATACCATAGGGTATATATATATATATTCTCTAAAATTTCGTTGTGCCAATCTTTTCCCAATGATTGGGAGTGAGACTAGCGCACAAAGGATGATTCATCCCATGTGTACGATGCATGCTCATGAAACCTTAGTGTTTTCTATGCTATGCATACACATATCTGTAATCTGGATTTTCGCAACTCATATATACCAATAACATTGTTAAGCAAGAGCTGGCTAATGGAGAAATAAAAGATTTTTTTAAAAGAGATAGTAGGAGCTCTACCTTTGAATTAAGATAGAGAAAGGAGAAATAAAAGATACTCGCATCAAGTCAATGGCTGTTGACAAAAGATCAGATCAGGAAGTATATTTCCAGCCGGGAACTAGCCTGGCACCAACCAAAAATAATCCACGATACGATACGCAGGCAGGCTAAGTATATCTACTAGCCTGGCACAAAAAGAAGCAGGCAGTATAGTACTAGTACCCCCAAACAGTATCTATCTTGGCACAAAATGAAACAAAAAATTTCTTTTGACTATTTTGAAAGGGTAAGCCTCTGAATAAACGGTATTGTAAATCTAAGCTTGACTTGGAAGCTAGCAAGTGGTCGAATGAAGTCCCTTTCAACAAGTCAACAAGAACTAGAAAGCCGAAGAACAGTGAGTGGAGCTGAACCCAAATGCAAACCACAAATTAAATGCATGCAGCAGCCCATCTGCTTGTCACAGGGAGGGGAATGAATGCAACCGATTGGCTAGCTAGTCGTTGGCAGGTCACACCAATGCCTGCTGCCGTATATTCATCAGTTCATCACACAGTGCAGCCAAAATCTGACGAACGAAGAGATCGATCGAGTACCCAAGAAAAAAAGACACTTTTGCTTGCAAGCTAGTTAGCTTGTCACATTGTAGCTAGGAAACAAACAAGAGGAGCAATGCAAACCGAGAGATGAGAAACAAAATACGGTCTCTCTCTAGTCAACAACACAGCAAGGAATTGAAACCATGGATGCATTGCATATTTGCATGCCACCGAAGGAAAGGAAGATCGACCACAATGCAATATAGCACTGCATATATACTACGAACTTACATAGGTGTTGAGCTGCCTGACGAAGCTGGAGAAGTTGTTGTGCTTGAAGTAGTTTGGGAGGAGGTCGCGGGCGAACTCGGGCGGGCGCCACACGACGAAGGTGGTGTCGTCGTCGCCCCACGACACGATGTGGTCGGTGCAGGGGTCGTCCACCAGCTGGTACGTCTTGGTCAGAAACGGCGCCGGCACCGGCTTCGCGTGCGAGCTCTCCATCGACACCACCATCTCGCCGCACCGCTCCACAAGGAAAGCCATGCTTGGCCAGCCGCCGGCCGCCCAAACTAAGATCGAGCTAGCCTCTCCCTCGCTCTATATTTCTCTTCTTTGGCCTCGGCCCTACAGGAAGAGATCGATGGATCGATCGAGGACAAAGCTAAGCAAGCAAGATGAGGAAGAAGACGAGGACGGAGCAGGAGAATCGGAGCCTCGGAGGAGCAATATAAGCTAGTAGGAGTAGTAACTATGGGAGCTCCAGCTGCTAGCAAGCAAGCAAGCACGGAGAAACTTAAAGAGAGAGTGCGAGGAGAGAGAAATTAAAGGCTGCCGCTCTTTAGCTCTATCTCCAGTCTCACTGTCTCGCACTCGCACACATAAACACATGACCGCACCGCGCGCACACACCCCACGAGCTCAGCAGGCTCAGCTCCTCCTCCCCCTTCAAATATTCTCTCTGGTGTGTGGCTCAGGCTGCAGAGGCCACCACTGCTTGGACGATCTGGACCGCTGCCTGCCTCTCTTGCTTCTCTCCCCACAGGCCAGGCCACACACTCTCTCTCTCTTCCTGCCCTCGCTAGTAGCCAGAGGACTAGGGGCTGTAGCCCCGGCAGCCCCTTTGATCCGCCCCTGTATATGCATGTGCATGGATATCTGTGCAGGAGCAGTGCAGGGTGGTGTGGGTAACTGTTCGTTTGATTATTTAAAACTACTTTTTAGTTATAGAATAATATTTTTCTTTCATAATATTTTAAAATATCAGCATAAATCAAATTTCAACATCAGTCGAGAGGGGCTTTGTATCATTAGAAGATGAAGATGGTCGCCACTCGCCAGCAGATGAGAGAGAGAGGGGCTTTGTATTGCATTGCTTTTAGCTAGCTAGGTCGTTCTTTTGGCATTACCCTCTCGCTTTACGTGTTGCTTGGAGGAGATCAAGCAGCTAGTGTATAGTACTATGACGACGCATTTAGTTATTTCAAATAGAGAGATGCCTATAAACGTATAAGGTGCTGTACGATCGACACCTTTGTCGCCGTTGGATCTTTGTTTAGGCGGTGTTTAGTTTCCCAAACTTTCAACTTTGGCACTATGCAAAAAGAAGATTTCCGTCACATCAAATTTGCGGTACATGTATGGAGTACTAAATGTAGATGAAATAAAAACTAATTGCACAGTTTGGTTGAACTTTGAGAGACGAATCTTTTGAGCCTAATTAGTCAATGTTTGGACAATAATTCACAAATACAAAAAAAATTGCTACAATGTTTGCTGTCACATCAAACACTGTGCAAATGCCGATTCCGGCCGAACTAAACAAGGGCTTAGTCCTTTGATTTGAAAGAGATGAGACTGCTGATTACATATGGATATTATTTATTTTTTTCATGAGAAAACCTTTAACTATATATGGTATGAGCCCTAGATAGTGGTGGATCTAGAAAGAAATATATGCTAGGAGGGGCTGCTCTTCCTTATATATTTTCTATATTTAGCCTCTTCTTCTAAATTTCAGTGACTATAAACTTGTAGCGGGGGCTTAGCAGGGGCTCTATACATCCGGCGGCGATAGCGTAGGTTCGAGCCCCAACCGATCCAGTGCTAGATCCGCCCCTAATGAGTAAGTATATTAAAAAAAAGATGTAGTATGAGAGTCTAGTTTTCAAATCTTAGCCAAATAAATGTTCATTTTAAACCCCAACTATTATAACATCTTACTTTTAATCTTAATCTAAAAAAGTTCACTTTCAACCTCAACTATCATATGCATCTGGATTCTTTTTTTTAATTTATAAAGAAGAAAACCATTCAGTTCTGTATTGTTTAAAGCCACATTATAATTTCTCAATTTAGGGCATAGTTTTCAAAAATTGCAATTTCATAAATGATTTCAAACATTAATTCTAGATGTATTCCACACTTCTAGTTGCGCATATGATTATTGAAAATATAAATCAATTTGGTATGTATTGAAATAAAGTTTAAATGACAATAGACGAGAAAGGTTTTAGCTTAATAGCAAACAATATATATTTTCAATCATGTTATTATCTATTTCAGTTATACTCTATTAAAAAATAAGTAATTATTTGGGATTGGCTAAAATCAACTATTCCCAAGCACTTTCTTTTATCATAACATATCTATAAACTATAGGAGATGTATACTTTTATGAAACTATCAAGACAAATCGAGTTATACCGCTTCCAAACATTCAGTCTCAATGCGTAAAATGTTTATAATCACAATTGGGAACGATTGATGATGTAAGATAACCCAAAGACCTCACTTACTAAAAGGAATGTTTAGAATATTTTAAGCCATTTTCAAATTCTGAAGTTCAAATACAAACTTAGCCATTACCCATATTAAATTCGAACCAAAACTGCAAAGTGAAGGGTTTTAACAGCTAAAGGTTGGAAAGTAAATGATTTTATATTTGAGGTTAGAAAACAAGACGTGGCAAATACTTAAAAGTTGTTTAAAATTGTGTACTTCTATCTCTATGGATTCAATGTCCAAGTATTCATATATCCTTATTGTCATAAATATTGTTGTATTTTCTATTTGATCAAACTTGAAAAAATAGACTTTAGACAACTCACAAATTGATTTATTCAGGGATGGAGGGAGTATTAGAAGTTATGTATGTATCAAAAAAGTGAATGGTTTATTGAGGCTGCATGCAAATAATGTTGACAGATAAATAGGTACCCACATGTATATATTTATAAGAACTACATTATCCATCTCAAAAGAAAATATATAGTGCTAGTAGTTACTAGGTAGATAAAAGAATACAACTAGTATATTTTTTTACCATAATGCTAACATAATTTGCTTTAATTGCCAACAAGGTAATTAATCAGTTATCCCCTCCTCTTAACTGCACACGTACTAGTTCAGTAGTATATATTACTAGAATCTATCTAGCTAGCTAGAAACATGTTCAACAGCACTGTTTTCTGTAGCGTTCGGCTGCCGTCCCGGCCGACTGCAAGCTAGGTAGCTGCCGCTGGGCCCTAGCTTTGAGACGAGACTTGAACAGGACTAGAGGGAGCCGTTCAACACATGCATGTGGCTCCAAAAGCGAGTCTCCATGGTCACCAGCAGTCCCCGCTGCAGCGAGAAGTGAGCCAGCGTCACGTTGGAGTACGTACGTACGTAACGTACCTCGCCGGCCGGGTCGACGACGACGGCGACGACGATAGATGGATCGATAGATTTGACGTGTGCGTGATGGAACAGGAGAACACTTGCAGCCTGTTCGTTTGTTAATTTTAGCCAGCCCAAACCATCCAGCCAACAGTATTTTCCTTTAAAAAAACTAGCACCAGCCAGCTCAAACCAACACCAGCCAACTAGCGAACAGCACCAACTAGCGAAGAGGCCCTCGGCAACGCGCAACGACCGATCGATCCGTCCGGTCCGTCCGTCCGTGGATCACATCATCAGGCACTAGACTGCTGGCAGCAGCTAGCAGGCACGGGCTGGACTGGATCATGCATTTTTTGTTTTTAATAAAAAGGCATGCATGCATGCATGCAAGAAAAGGAGCATGCAGGGAATGGAAAAGAAAAAAAGGATCCCGATAGTGAGAGCCTGAGCTGAGAGGGCGATGGAGATGGTCAGGTCAGAGCACGCCGGCCGCACCGGACGCAGCAGCAGCAGCAGCAGCTGATCGAGGAATCCCCCCGCCGTCCCGTCCGTGCACGGCTGCACCTGCACGCAGTGGGAGGAGCGGCGGGAGGCGAGTGAGGTGGCGGTAGCGCGCTCTAGTTGCGCGCGCGCATGCACTGCACTGCACCGCACGGCCCGTATCCTCATGGTATTTAGTGACCAAATTGTTCTCACTCTCCCCACCTGCTGCACTGGTGCATGCTGCAGTGTGTGTGCGCTATAGCTAGCTGCCTGTGTCCGTGTGGTTGTAAACAACGAGAGATACTTTTGTTTCGTGCTGCTGCGGCCGGCCGGCCGCCTGCTTGCTGCTTGCAAGTTCAAGGCAGCCCCGTGACTTCCATGGAACAGCAACACAACAGACCTGAGACCACCCCTCTCTCTCTCTCTCTCTCTCTCTCTCTGAGCGAGAGCTAGTACAGGAAGGAGCAGTGGAGACTTATAGTAAATGGAGAGAGTTATGACCATGCATCTATCCAGAGTCCAGAGGGGTGCAATGCAAGCTAGGTAGGGGAGGGATCCACTTTTGAGGGCCGTAGTGCATGCAATGCAATTGCAGCTGCATTTTTCTATTGCCCCTTCGGCCCTTCCTCCCTGGCTTCCCAGCCTCCCAGGCACCCTGCTATAGCTGCATCTGCATGATGCATGGGTGTGTGTGATGGTGATGCAAGAGGGCCAGCCAGCAAGGCTGCTGCTTCCATTAATATCATATCAATGTGCAAGAAAACAAACATTCCTGATTCCTCTCATCCCCCAACTTTTCAACCAGCATTGAACGAAACAAAACAAAGTTTTCTTTTTTTCCCCCTCCTGCTTCCTTCTCTCTCTCTCTTTGGTCCCAGCACGCATGCACTAGCATCATGAACTGATGAGAGTTGCACAGTCACTGGCTCACTGCTAGCTAGCCAGCTGCCCAGTGAAAGTGAGTGACTGACTACTTCAAAGTTTGAAGAGACCTACTACTAGCTAGCTTGCAAGTAAGGTCGCACAGATCTCACAAGATTACTAGCTGGATCTGTGTATGAAATGCTTCTCTCCTCCGATCCTTTCCTTCTTCGTCATGCATGCCTTCAAACTCGAAAGATATCCATTCAAGCAAGCAGCAATGAAACCACAGAGTCAAATGCAAGATCCATTCTAGGCCCCCCTGCCTGCCTGCAGGTGATCAATAGAGATGCAGCTAGGTTTTGGCATGCAGGTACTCATCAGTTGCTTGCATGCCACAAGTATGCATCAATGCAATTCAGGAGGCAGCTCACCAGCTACTACATCTGCATGGCCTATTTTCAGTACAATTTGGTACAATGGTCCTGCTGGCCGCCTGCTTGTACAAAAGCTAGTATATTGCATGTACTACCTCTCTA